CATTTCGTAATGCCTATTTTAGAACCAAAATAATGCCTTTCTCTCTTCCCCGACGCCTATTCAAGAGATTGTACGGTGTATTGTTTGTTTTGTGCATGTGTTGTGGACAAAAAATGACCACGCCCATTTAGTGATTGCAATATGTACGTAATAGAAACCGCACCCCGAACTTGAGCTTTTGATCCCAATTTTTAAATTGTAATATAAACCGCGGTTTATAATAGGACTTTAACGGTAGCATACATTGAGTGGTTCCGATTTGTTTGTTTCATTAAGGTAACTCCGTTCTCAAATTTTATGTTATTTTCACTTGTGTAATGCCAAATTGTTTTGATAAATGTATATGGAGTTTTTTTGGGTAGGCTTTTTTTAGATTATTCATTTTGTTATGATACTTTCAATCCATTTATTACCAAATGTAATAGCTTCCATTTTTTGTGAACTTAACGAAATGGCAGCTTATTCCTTTCTGACTAGTTCCTTATTTATATTTCCATTTTTGTTTTTCAGTATATACCCATCAGATCAAGACTCTGGTGTGCATATTCCTATATCAAACAACACTGGTTCACTGCCAGATTTAACCAATCTACACTTTCCATCACCGTTGGCAACGCCTCTGGATGTGGAAGATCACCAGAACGCTTCAAGTAATCTTGTCAACACATCTAATCAAGGTCATCATTTGAATATAGTTCAGCAGCAGCCTCCTGCTGCTCCTACACCGGCTTCACCACCGGCGCAAGAACATAGTCCACAAACGCAGAGGCGTAGACATCCACATTCACATGCGCCACCAAGTCCACTATCATTAACTAATCAAAGAAGGCGTCCTGTTCAGCAGGTGACTTGAAAACTTATCTTGTTATATATGCCCCAATACAGGCAATCTGTCAGTCGGAAAATCGTATTCCAAATATTAAACGAATCCACATATTTCGTCTATTACATGCCTCTTAAATGATTTAAACCAAATTTACTCTGTTTAACAATCGCATACATTAGCAGTAAAACAATTCCAGCCAAATTATTACTATAGCTTCAATGTTGCTGTTATTTGCTATGCAAAGGTCTATACACGCTTTGCTGGACTATGGACTGGATGCTATTATTAAAAACTATGCAAAGTTTGCATGAAAGTTAATGCATGTAATACAGAGGGATCATGCATTTCCTGATATTGAGTATGAGTGTACTTGGTGAATGGCATGACATACATGTGTCCTGACAGATGTTGACATGGGCCAATTGTTTTGTGTAATTATAACTACACAATTTAGGCATTCTTTTTCCAAGCACTTTATTTTGGCCAGGAAACAAATTGTACACTGAGCTATGTTTAAACACCTAAAGTGATGCATATATGTGGAACTAAACATCAGACTTCATTATTGCATGTACCAGGTAGCTTGATTGAAAACCTGGAAATTGAGCAGTTGTTGTGGTTTCTCGTTAGTGTGCATGCTGTGAATGTAAGCATTTTGTCTGTGTTCACCTTGTATTTGTTAGATTTAGCAGAAAAACTCCTCAAATTAAGCATGTGTGTCTTTCTATAGGGTGTTGTTAGCATAGAAACTAGTGGAGAAGCGAGGTTACCACAGTATCCAATGTATCAACAACAACAACAACAGCCGCAACAACAACAACAACAACAACAGCAGCAGCAGCATCAACAACAACAACAGCAGCAACAACAACAACAGCAACAGCAGCAACAACAACAACATCATCAACATCCACAACAGACACAAGGTCAACCATCACAACATCCTCCACATAGTCTTACAATTGAAATTTCACAGGTACTTCTGACTTCATTCATAAATTACACCTTGCATTTTGCTTCTTGGAAAGATGTGGTTTTAAAAAAATATTAGAAAATGGTTGACCATCTCATAAAAATAGTTGTTCGTTTGAAATTGTGCAAAAATCTTAACGACAAAGCTATTGCTAATAAGGCATGATGACAAGTCGTATGATAAATAGCGCCCTCACAGTTCATACTGAAAATACTTACAAAAGGAGGTATTTCAACGAGATCACTGTAGTTTCAATATAGCAAATTATAGGAAATTATTTTTACTGACATTCTTATGAAAAAACTATTTGGAAGTGTTTTTTTTCTGCAGCAAAAAATATATTGAAACAGAAAATGTTTATTGTTATGGTTGTCTCAATGACAAAAAATTTTGAATTTGGTTGTCTGGGACAACCGTTATTGGTGTCTTATTTTTGTTAATACTAATACAATTCTTTTTCAATTTATCTGTACATTTCATCAATATAGGACTTGCGCGGTTGTCCTCAGGCATTGCACAATGTTACTTTACATAAGTGCTGTTCAACATCGTTATCTCGTCAACTATTTTATTTAATTCTTTAAAATTTAATATTTTTCAAGATTTCTGTTTGCATTGATCCATTGTAGCATTCAGTGTACAAGCATGTCAATTATTTAGTTTCATAATTTGGACAATAAATATTTAGATGGTCGTATTCAATGTACATGATGTACCCAGGACAGTTTTCATGTCAGTGCAAAGCTACTTATAAGATTGTGTCTGATTGGCCACCCAACCATAAGTTTAACCAATCACAAAGCAGCATGTTTGTTTTTTTCAAAGTATTAAATGCTGCTTTGTATGAATGATTGTATGTATGTATGTTTCAGAGCCATGCTTTGAGCAATCGTGTTCAAACTTTATGTAAATATCATATTTATGTTACACATATGCTCATATAATTGTTTGATGATCGGATATAAGATGGCTGAATGGTGAAACTCGAACATTTCTGACATGCAGAGCAAGATTTTGTGTGGGTGGATTTCATTGAAACTTTGTACATACATTGAACATTATAGGACCTTGATGCACGTCATATTGTTTTTCAGAATCAATTCATAATGGCTGCCTGGATGCCATTTTGTTTTAAAAAATGCAGTTCTGAATCTATATTACTGACCAACTACATAACTAAGTTATGTAATGCAATCACTTATTTTCTTCACAGGCTGCTGCACTCAACCAATACAGAGACAACAGCACTAATGCTACTTCGTGTTCGTCACCCACATCGCCAGTTTCCAATCCCAACTACTCGCCATCTCAGTCACCGTCAACCAATAACACCCCTTTCATTAACTCTCCTTTTGCTGACGCTTACTACCTTCAACAGCAACAAACCAATGCTCTTCAGCACCAATTTGAACAGTTTAATATGATGCCTGATATCCCGCATACATCCCCTAATTCTACTCAAGTTACAGTTTCGCTGCCATATCAGTGCGTAAGTACAGATAGTTGGATTTTGAACTGCGGGGATCAGCCTGGTCAGCCAACAATAGATGTACGTGTATTCTTTTTTTTTGTCATTTTATTTAAAATTTTCTACACACATGTTTCAGCTGCATTTTTGCCAGTTTTGTTTATGAAGGCTGTGTATTAAGATTAAATAAATGTTGTGTTATCAAATGCGTATAAAGATGATCCCTGATTAATGTGACCTATGCTTTAGCTGTGACTAATGACTAGAAACTCATTTTTGTATAAACGCATGTCCAGATACTGTTTAAATATGCTTAGTATGAACCTCCTAACATTTTACCTTATGTGTGCTCATGTGGTATTATTTTGGCTTATTTTACATGGATTAAAATATACCACAGAAAAAAATTATGAACAAATCCAGCTTATGACCAATTACATTAAACCTGTGTTTTAAAGGCAATCTGGGTGATTTGAGTAAACTATTGAATGGGGTCCTTGTGGGGGTTTCTATCTTTGACTCTTCATATTTGAAGCTTAACCTTTTATGTTATAGTCCACTATGTGTTGGTCTTACTTTATTGGTTAGTAAAGCCGTTGTTGTATTTCAGGTGGATATGATGTATGGAACTCAGGCAACCACATTCCCATCACATCTCCAACATCAACAACAACAACATTCTCATAAACAACAACAACAACAACATCGCCAACAACAACAACAACAGCAGCAGCAACAACATCATCAACAGCAGCATCACTCAAAACAGAAGCATCAGCAAGTACCATCGTCACAGAGCAGTAGTATACCAGATATAATTTTAACCGGTAAGTATCTGTCAAAGCTGTCAGAATAATAGTAAAGTGATGATATTAAAATTTAAAGCGGGGGAGTCGTCACTTACGCATGCGTCAGATGGTCATAGCATGTCATTGTTTACAAACAAGCGTCTACCCATGAGCCTTTGTGTTCTTATCGTGTGTTGTGGTGTTATCATCGCTTGGACTCAATTCTTGTGCATGCGCAGGTGACGACCCTCTCACTTTAAGGTTGCCACCGATGTCTTGTAATGAATTGTGATTTTTTTTTACATGTATATATTTTCTGAAAGCTTGGATATGTAAGAGAAACCATATCTAGGTTGATTTAGTTCTTGTTCCCAGTCCGAAAAACGGGGATTTGTAAATTTCATAGTTATTTCATTATTTGCGCGTCAACACTACATTGTTATAAGGTTATAAACTAATGAACTATGACATTATATTGGCTGCAAAATGTCATTGAACTTGTGTGAGGGTGCATGATGTTGATGTGCAATCATCTTTTCTTTTTTCCTTCTTGACAAAAAACACTCCATCTATAATGTTAAAAATGTCACAAAGATGTGCAGGCCTACATCCAAGCTTTCAAAAGCGACTTGTAAAATACAGTTGATCTATAAAATTGAGATATGTGGCTGTTTCTTGAGCTGCATTGTACCATTCATCTGGGAGATATGTAGTTTTTCTCTAGCATCCCTACAGTTTAGCGCTGGTATGTACCTTGTTTAGGTTTTGTCAAACCATACATGCTTGTGCTTGAAATGTTGATTATGTATACCAATGTATATTCTTTTGGATGTTCTCATTGTTCACAGCGGAGGTGACTATTTCTGGCACGTATCCAAAAATATATGTTCAAATATATGTTAGTAAGTGAAAAATAAAATGCACAAAGTCACTGCCCCTTTCTCAATAAAAATAAATAAAGTGCTGAAATTTTCTGTAATGCAGTATTCATCCACTACTTTTTGAAAATGACCCAACTATTAACAGACCATGAGCTGTATTTTTCTTCAGTTTCTTCTTGTATTTGAATTAATAATAAGTCTTATTGACTTGTATATTACCAAATCATTGAACACTGTATTACGTTAAGTCCTGTGGTATATTTCTTTATCCCAATAGCAACCAAATTGATAAAAATGGTTTTTAATTCAAACAAAAATTTTCTGCTGACTACAGATGCTCTCTTCACATGTGCATGGCAAGTATTTTACTCTGTGTTGACTTATTTGGTACATTTGGAACCTCAAATATTATTTTGGGATCAGTTTATTATATTGATTTGAGAATACTAAAACACAGCTCAATACCCTTCACACGTAATACCATGTCAACAATTTTTAAGTATAAAAATTGACATTCAAAAAAATTGTTCTCATTCACAGAATTTGAGAACTATATTGATATTTCAGGTGCAGGTGAGTCGCCGCCTCGTCAAGATTTTGCGAAAGATATAAGCAGCGCAATGGTTGGTATGGCAGGCGGCTTTGACAGTGACCCATTATTTCCTGGTGAAGAAGCTTTGAAAGTAGGCTTGGACCCTTTAGATTTAGATGGATTACAGATGCTCTCTGATAACGATGTAATTACCGATCCCGCTACGGAAGACTCATTTAGGCTTGATAGACTGTAGCTGGCATATTGATTTTTAATACCACTTTGTATTTGTTATAATAATAATAATAATAATAATGATGATAATAATTAAATAGATGGAATGTAGTATGTGAGTTTACATTCTTTGATGTTTATGTTATTATTCTAAATAGGAACTGTGTACAGACTACTACTAAATAGTCAATTTCTTTTTAAACCCATTTAGTCATATGAGTGGGTAAATTTTTTTATTCCTGTTATTATTTTGTATTTGGTCTTTTGCTAAAAGAGTACAATGTGCTGGTGTCCTATTGTACATTGTCTGACTTTATCCGCTTGTAGATCTTCAAAGAGATATTTTATAACAAATTTGCATCAGAATTGTCTGTTTTTTTTGTTTTTGTTTTGATTTACTATGTAAAAAAAATTCAATCCATGTTTGGTATACACTGTTGTATACACTATTCTCTTGGTATTTTTTTACGACACTTAAACGTTATCCACACACACGCAGACATACGCACACACAGACAGATGACTTACAAATATATGAAAAATGTAAAAAAAATGAAATGAACAAAAAAAAATAGATTTTATGTACATGTTGTTTAAAAGACCAATTGTTAGATCAGCAGCTAGCTGTGTAGGGTAGATATGCCAACAATTAGGTGTGACTTAAAGTCACGTACATTTTTCTCAAGAAATATGGTGAAATCTGAAGAAACTAAGGGATAGCTGCTGTTCCACACTATTTTGTTACTATGCTGTATATGAGCAAAAATGTTATTTGTAATAATTCTACAGATATCTCTTGTTATCTGTTGGTTTTTTATTTTATTTTTTAAAAAAAAGCATTCAATTATGTTTGTATAGACTGGTATCTGGTCTTGCATTATCAAATTATAATCTCACAGTTGTATCTGAAGTGCCAAAGCTGTGGGATGGTTTTAACTATTTTATACCCCCCCCCCCCTTCCCACAATTCAAAATCTTCACAGTCAGCTAATTGGGAGTACATCCATTCACCTTGTTCATATCAATTTTTCTCAAAATTGCTGATTGTTTTTTTTGTTTTTTTAAATAGTTGGAACTAATTCTTAGCCACGTTTTTGCCACCAAATTCTTTCTCTTAGTTGTGCAATATTGGCAGTGTGGTTTGGAGGAAGTTGTCGTCAATAAAATATGCTGCATAGAAATTTAGTTAAATATAGATAAATACTAAAAAAAAAAATTTTTTTAAACTAGATACCAGTCTAAAAGAGAAGTATTTATTACTTCTTCAGTTGAATGTTGACAATACCGGAGTGCTATTTATCGCAGCATAATACTGTTTTTTTTGTGTTTTTTTTTTTAATCTTTCGTTCCTTCATACCACCTTGCGTTATTTATGTATTGGTGTCAAAAATTGCAGTCAATCTCTGATTGATGGAGGTTTCTATAGCTTGAGTATAGAACTAATTTGTTTTTTCTCGGTCAATAGAATTGTCTGATCCATTGGGTTGTGGACGATGTCAGACTTAAAAATCTTACTACCAATTGTTTGACAACTGAACAGGTCATATTACCATTGCTCATGCTTTTCCAAAGTCTTTAATTTAAAACCCATTGGTGACTGCCTTGTAGATTCTGTAAGTGTTACTAATCACAACTTTTCAAGTATTGTTACCTCCATTAAACATGCAGCACATGTCTCCTAGTATTGGAAATCCTCCAGTGCTTTGTATGTACGACATGATGTAGTCGTAGTGGAACGTTTCTGCTTTGGCCAAGTGCGAGGACTGCTAAGAAGGTGCTGTAGATTAATATTGTTCATTTCAACATGCTTGTTTGCAAAAAAAAGAATTTTGATGAATTGTTGTATTTATTTTCCCTCGTCCCCATACATGCTTCTGTAAGCATGCGTATAGTATGGCAAAATTGATAATCAAACAAACAATAGTATCATAGTGATTTCTTTAACATATCAACCATGTCCTGCTCTCTCTCAGTTGGTTTTGTTTTTTAATTCATCCTATTTTAATTCTTTGAAGTGAATTTCATTTTAAATTGTATTATTTATAAATAGTCATCCCCCAAATAACTGAATACTATATACACTGAGAAGCAGGATATGTATATATTTTAAATAATTTAGCCATTTTTCAGTTGCCGGGCACTTCATTTTTAAAGGCTTAGTCATCAACATCCAATTAGATAAGAGTACTCCTGTCTCAGTCTCCACTGTAACCATATATGGAAGTGCTTAAAATTTCTCAGCATGCTTTGTCCAGTTAGGCTGGTCTTTTCATTATTTATGCATTCCAACTTTGTATTTTATGCAGAAAACACCTACTGATTGTCATCACCAAGATAAATAATAAAATCAGTTCGTTTGGCAACTAATTTTGTATTAACTGCTGGAGCTAGCCTGCAACCGAAGGTCATGATTCTAATCATCAAACCAAACTTGGTTTTCATTGTCGCATTTCACTTCGTGTTAGGAAATTTACAATTTGATTTCAGGATTCTGTTGAAAATTTCTCATGAAATGTACACATCTTATAATGCTTACAGGGGTCAAGTTTTCTACAAATCGTACAAAATGGGAATGTAACTTTATAGTAGTGCTTTAATTACATTTTGTACAAAAAACAACCTGAACCATCACTGCATGTATCCTTCCTTCTCCCCATTTCCTAATGTTATACATGATCACCTGGAACAAGTGTTAGGTTGTGCTACCATTTATGGTTACATTGGAGACTGACTGTTGTCAATTCATTCTTTTTATCTTCTCAATGTTGAATATTCATGTATGTACAAAGCTGAATTTAAAAAAAAAAAATTGATTCCAAGAATATTCTGTTTGTTATTATCCAATATCTTGATCTATGTGTTTTTATATCATAAAATGTTTGTTCACAAAATCAGTCGTCTTGATTCTTATTCTTGGGGTGGCAATTGCCCAATTTGCTATTTAGATATATACCGGTAGATTAAAACATGATGAGCGATGTGTATGATATTTTGAGGTCAAAACTGTGTATGTGGTGCTTGTCATTTAATAAACAACTACTAATATGGTGCAGTTGCAGTAATGTGTATGCCAGGGTACTTTTATCAATCATCCATAAATTTTGCTATTATCGTATTTTGCTATTATTTGAGCTATTAGTGTAGGTTCTGAAATTCACCCAAAAATTAAGGTAATTTTGGCTACACTAGAATGAAGCTCCACCAGTTCATTCTTTCCAAAGTCTGTTCTAAATTAGATTGCTTTGCAAACTTTTCTCAAATCTGATTGTTGATCATATGGTATATTGGCGTCCTATTTATTAAAGTGGATAGGTGGTTGCATCACACAAATGCCAGATTTGTGTTGATTAATTTCTCCTATAATTTAATATGGTGGTAAGTGCTAGTTTGGTTAGACCCTGCCACAGTTATGAGGAAAATAGTATGCAGTTGACCAATTCCCCCCTCCCCCAGTCCTCCCCACCAGATTTTGAATGGGTCACTTCTTGCATAGGTAAATACCGTCTACATGTACCTAAAAACCAGCACTGCTGCTTTTTTGCCAAGATCAAAACATGTGCATACTTTCTGTTGTATTTAATTGTCAGTTGAGTACCTTGGTACATGTATAATTAACACAACCTATTAAAATATTACCTATTTTGATCATAGCATTCCTTAGCTCCATGATCTTGGATACTTCTGTCAGTTGCGCTAATAACATGGCAAATTAAAGGAGTAAAGGATCTGTATTATTCAACTGTCAGTAAGTAAAATGGTCCTCTTTTACTCCACTTCTCAGATTAATTCCAAAATTCGGACGTTTACCAAGGTCTATGGTTTACCCCAATAGTCATTACTAACAAATTGATTGTTTTCATGAAATGGCACCATCTATGGTATAAAACATTACATAAAATATTAATTGCAAAATATGTTGTGTGGATATATAATCAAAAATGAATTATTATTTATTAAAATATAAGAATTTTAAGCTGGAAAGCATCATTAGACAACCTTCACTGAAAAAAGGTGCCTCAATATTCGTGTGCAGAACAGACCTCTTCAAAATAGGATCCTTCTAATTTATAAATTTTCATTCGGTACTTTCATATATCTTTCACATGTGTAGTGTAGTGGTCTGATGCTAACAGGTTGACAGTAAATTGTTTAAAGATACACAATGTACGTTATATGATCGTGACATTTAAAGGCCGAGGTTCTCTAAAAGTTAAAAGACACATCTCTGTAAAATCAAATCCAGTAAGTGATGTTGACACAGCAACAACTCGTAGGAATCAAGATCGACAAATATCTCATCTGGCAATGTCACACATCAAAAATCAATCAGATGATTAGAAAATAAATAAATAATTTTACTAAATGTTAGACACAATGTTCAACAGCATATCATATTACAAATCTTTGATTCAACCTCACATCACATATGATATTAGGGGAAAATACGTCATAGTCACACTTGGATTGATGTCTGTACAATACACAATATATTGTAAGAATTGAAGAATTCTAATGTTTTCTGATTCCACTGTCCGTTCCTGTTTTTAAACAACTTAAATGTGGTAGTTGTCGCGCCACGTATGCGCGAGATATATGGGTCTCATGTAAACAAAGATGGCGACTTTGACTGTTGCGCAAATCAACGATTACAAACTGAGACGTTACCAAGCTCTAATTAGGTATTTCCTAGGTGATTGGAAGGACTCACTGGCGGTGATTAGTGCAAGTCGCGCCCAGGTCAAACTTCATACTTATGATTTCCATTAGATGAGCGCATTGGATTGTGGGAAAATCAATGTTTATCAACACAAATGTCGCACATGCGTAGTGCGACGACTGCCACCCTTTAATATCCTCGACACTTTCAAACAGCGCCGCCGTATCCTTGATATTATAAATGACAACTTGTCACACTCTATGTTAACTTATAACCTAAGTCGTACACATCATAAACACAATACGAGACATAATTACCTTGATGACCTTGTTTTTACGGATGAATACATCCTTCAGTCCATTTGCTGTAGTCTTGTTGATGTGCTAAATCATGAAATAATCTCTCTGTATCTTTAAGATATAAGACCAAGTCCACTTTCCGAAATCCACCTCGGAGCAATTTATTAGTTCCCGTTCAGACGCACTCCGAAAACGGGGACTTATGTTTTGACCTCCGTCCGTTCGTGCGTGCGTGCGTCCCGACTTGTATCTTAGAAATGCCTGGACCAATCACAATCAAACTTGATATTATACATATGCACGTCAATTTGTTTCACGATCTGATTCAAGATGGCCGAATGGCGGCCATTTTTGTTCTAAAAATCATCAAAATCAAACATTTTTCGGCTGTTTACAGATGGGTTTTGTTCAAAATTGGTATATACACTAGACATTATGGGACCTTGATGCAAATAATTTTGTTTTTCAGATAAGATTCAAAATGGCCGACTGGCGGCAATTTTGTTTTAATGAATGGGCTTCTAGACCCATATCCCCGACTTATTTTGACTGATTATGTTCATATTTTAAATATTCATTATACATCATGTCATAGATAAACATATATTGGTTTGACGATCCTATTTAAAATGGCTGAATGGTGGTCATTTTTGTGCTAAAAAATCATATATCAGGCATTTCTGGCATTCGTTATGGATGGATTTCATTCAAACTTGGTACATACATTAGACATTACGGATTCCTGATACACGTCATTTTATTTTTCGGATTGGATTCAAAATGGCTGACTGGCGGCCATTTTGTTTTAATGATTGGGCTTCTAGAGCCATATCTGTTAAATGCTTTGACTGATTATATTCAAATTTTATATATTCGTTATACATCGTGTTATATATATACATGTATTCAAAATGGCTGATTTTGAATGCTGTTCCAGAGCAATATATCTCAATATGGACAAGTACATGTACTTGTTTGACGATCAGATACAAATGTCAATCATTTTACAGTAATGTTAAAAAAATCATATTCCTGACATGGTTATATTCCAGCTATATTACTATAAACAAAACTATACATCTTAAATTTGACAACTAATGGGGACTGTGCCATGCATGGCTTGTTTTAATTTGTTCAATCCAAGTTTATATTTGATATAAAACTATTTATTTGTCCCGCCTAGCTGTTACTAGCTAGTCCAGATTCCAACTCTTGCTGTGATATTATATTCTTATCAATATTGCATTACTATTTTTACACTGGAATTCATTGAACGAATGTTGGTAGGTAATACTGTTAAAGGCTGTGTGATGGTGATTTATTGCAGTACGCCCTCTATAGGCCATTCATAGAAAATAATATCAAAAGACGTGAACATACACGAAATTCTACAAATTGAAACAGCTTTTTTTCACTTCATTTCTTGGCACAGAACTCGTTTTTTCTGTTATCTATAGAGAGTGTGTTCGCTGTTATTTTCAATACTAGTATGTGTTTTCTCAATTTCACAAGAATAAATTTACATGTAAAACAACATACATCGATGTTTTGCTCAATTGGCAGGAAGACAAAAGCATTGTGGGTAAACTACCTTCTGATGCAAGACTGCCCTTTGACCTATGCAACTCTTTAACGCTTCAGCGAAAGGCTTCGGCGAGTGTCAGTGAGTGCAAATAACCGTTTTTTGTACTGTCCTTTCCTGGAGTATACATTGTTAATTACTCTGGTATGGATAAACCCGTGGACGAGAAGATGGCTGATCTATCTTTAGGTAAGGACAAGTCGTACCTCGCCGCCTGAAACACAACCTGGCCATTCGGAAAAAAAATGTGTGAATGGGAAACCAACTGATCTCCACGTTGTCAGTTTATCATATTGTAGCATATGCACCCCAAAGTCTAAACATTCTATTTTGATAATTTGTTATTTGTCTGGATATTTGTATGATATACGAGTCAAGATGTCATCGATAACCGTTTTATTTGTGCGTGGATCATGCTGTCGTCCTGGGCGAGGCTTATAAAATCCATATATTATCGCAACTTATTTATGTATCAGTCAATTGAATGCCACTGAAAATGTTACCCTCTCCCAACATATCCCAACCCCAGGGTCAGGCCTGAGGGGTAAAGCGATTGGCCTACTTTCAAGAATAAGAGTGAAAATATGCAGAAACAAACAAAAGACAGTTTCCCAGCCAAAACTTTTGGTGAATATAATTGTCTTGTGAAATTAAACAACTTGTTTATAATTGCATTTGTCAATGTATATAAAAACAGTTATTAAATGAAACTAATGAAGTTTGTATTATATAGAACAAAACATGATAAATTATTCATGTATCTAGTATTCAGCTGAAAATTGTGAAATTTTGCTATATGTTGTTTATGTGTACCAAGAAAAGTTTAGTAGTAGGATTTATAATACTTATTCCAGAAAGTTTTGCATTTTTCCCCCACAAGTCTCTTACTAGATTCTGACTGCTGTTGTAATGTTTAAAGGATATTTCGAAAATTATATGTACCACACAATAACAATAAATTTGATATGCCATGGTCTTGAATTTCTAATTTTGGCGATGTATTGGTAATATGTTTATACTAATATTTTTGGAGTCATTTTAAATACCGTAACGTCCTTTACACAATTTATGAGAAATGACCATTCTTATGCACCAACAAGTTAAAGTTGGAAGAATTAGAAATATTTTTCTATACAATATATACATTTATTTCAAGTCAATAACCTGTTCGTCCATAAAGGTGGATCTGAATTTATATCACAACACACATTATGTGATATCTGAAAATACTAGAAATCTTTAATGTAATATAATAATTGTTTTATTTTAAGATTGGTAGCCATGATATTAAAAGTTCAATTCGCTTGCATGGGCTAATCGGATTCGAATGGAGATTTGGAATTATTCCACTGCTTTATTACACTCAACTGGATGATATAAGGGACATTTAAATATAATCAATACAATATTTATTATTCGATTGAAGTCAATAGACACAAATGATTACCGCCAGAGTTTTCTGTTTGTCTGAGCCACAGGCGAGAATTTTTGCTCTTTTGGTGGTAATCACAAGTGTTTGCTGACTTCACCCTAAGAAAAAACATTGTGGGATTATATAAATGTCATGTAATGTATCTTCTGAGTGTGTATTGTAGATTCAAATGACAGATGTTTTGTAGGTGTGTTTTAAGGGATAAACGTTTCTGTGCACTTCACTCGATACATATGCATATCATGCACATTTATTGGTGAAAAACCGTGATATATGTTCTCTGAATATAACACGGACAACAATTATTGAATTTCAAAGCATGTAGACGTGGAAATGCATTATCCGGGTAGTATCTGCTCGTCTCGTCTCGTTGTCAGACATTTTGTAATAATGTAATAATGCTTTCTGGTGTTTGTACTTTGTATAAATCTCCAAACAAAATTTGGGAATCACAGTTTAAATATTAAATACATTTTTAAATCAAATCAGAATCAAAATTTTTTAACAAAGTATAGTATACAATTTAGATTAATCCTGAACCTCCCAAATGTGCTTCAATTGTCATGTCAGAAAAAAAATTATGTGTTACCCTTTTTTAGCCAACTGTGTTTCAGTGCTCTTTTCTATGCTAGGGTATAAGCCCCAGATGTTTTTCACTGTGTCTGAAAAATGTGAAACTTGATCTGGCCTGGTATCACATATCAGTCGGCCTTGAGTACTACTGCTAGTGCGTGTGAGAGCTATAAATAGGCAGTTAAATCTACAGTGGCATACTTCACATCGTCTTCAAAAGTGGGAAATCGGCAGATTTTTGCAGTCCTTTACATGGTTTTCAGTAATTTTGCAGGCACAATAGGACTCAATTGCACTATGGATAAGAACAGTAAGTAACAGTTGGCTATATCAGTGGACATACTAGGAAATAATTGGCCAGTGTTTTGAACACATTAGAACACAATTGGCCTGCCTTGCATGCACATTGAGAAACAACTGCACTATGGATACGGATGGAAGGCAACACATTAGAACACAATTGGCAGTATATGTATACACACAAGTATACAACTGGCCTGATTTGAAGGTACATTGAAACACAATTGGCACTATGGATAAAAACAGTGAGTAGCAACTAGACATTGTACTGGGCCCACTGAGGTACAATTGGGTAGTGTTTAAACAAATGTAGATGTAACTGGCAATGCTTCTAACTATTCATGACATAGTTAGCCTGGGCTAATAGGAACATT